GGCAGTGCCTTCCAGTTCTATGATCAGATTCTATGTCCTATTCCACCCTGTTGGAGGGGTCGTGGTCTGTAGATATTTGTGTCTTACAGTTACTCGGAAAGGGGAAATCAGAATTGGAATGAAGTTGCACTACACATTGCTCCTATGCTTTGTAGATTGCATATCTGCCTATGAGACAGTGCTATTCTATTAATGCTTCCAATGAAAGGTTGAACAACCTACTATCTAATACAACTTAACTCATAGACAGCACCATAAAACAGAACATCCAGTTTCTTTAATTTTGCTTCTTTCAATGTTTCACTGACAGAAGGCAAGTTTGCCATCAATGATGAGATGAAAAGATTTTCAAATCTGCTCAAGTATGGCTTGTTCCCAAGGGTCTGTCCTGAATGTGCCATAACACATTCCCAATACATCTTCCTTTTAGTTGGTGTAGCATCGATGGGGACATAGGTTTAGAATGGATTGGTGTTTGAACATCAATTAACATTTCCCAGACTCTATGGTATTAAATTTCTTTGATTGTTTGAAAGATTAATACAGTTCCCATCTTAACAGTCTCAAATAATATTTTTATTGTCCAACCAAAATTCAAAAGTTTTTGTAAAAGGCCAGGTACGATGAAGTGCTCCAGTAACAAATATGCAGCCCATTCTGGAGTAATTAAAGGAAACTGTCAGTTTCTAATATACTATGAGAACTTTTAGAGGGGAAGTTAATAAATTACCTTTGTAAATTTCAATATAATTATTTAACAATTACTAATCTTACAAAGATTACCTGAACTATATTTCTAGGCATTAATATACATGAAAAATATTTACATTTTATGAATTTTATCTCTTGCAATATTTTTAGGAATTGGCAACTTTTCACTTAAAGAAATAATAGTAACAACCAATGAAAAGACACTGAAGCACAAATATTTTGATTTACGAAGAACTCAAGAACAATGTTTACTTAAGATATTGTACATTTATTTTATAAAAAAGTAGAGAGAAAAAACATCTGATTTTGTAGAATTAAGCTTTTAAACATTTACACTGTTACAATTATATAAGCCTTTCATTTTTAATGACTTGCTAAACTGAATGTTTATAATGACTACATTTCAAATAGGGAAAAATAGCCTTAATCCAGAAAAATTTTTATTAATATATTGTGAGCAAATAATACAATTACCATAATTAATCTCATGTTTTAATTAATCCATGTGGTTAATACTACTCAATGAAGAAGTTTATCAAACAGTTTTAGATATACCATTTAAAAAAAACAACACTGCCAAGATATGTAGAGTATGGTTAATACAGAATAATATTTTTAGCTTCTCACAGAGTAAAAAAACAGAGCAAAGGCTATGCCCCGGTTGCCACCAAAATCCAGTGGTCTATTAAATAGAAGTATAGTACAGGCTGAACTTCAGAAACACAACTTTACACAACTTATTTATTCCTGGCATACTGGGAATTAACTCTGAGTTGTTAGACTTTCAGGAATGTCTTTAGGAACTCTCTCATGGACTATTCCTTTATATACATATAATAATGGCAGTGAAATTATTATTGCAGAATTATACATTAATTGCCACACTTCTTGAAAGTGAAGCAACTTTAGCTGAGTCTTTCAAGCAATAATGGTTCAACTGTTTCAATATGACTTTTAAATGCAATTCCCTGTAAACTCAATCTTGCTATACAAAAGTAAAATTTCTTTCATGTCTGACTTGTATAAGAAACCAAAAACTAGTCAAGGCAGGGGCAAAAATAACTCAAATTATCAACTACAATCACAATATCAAATTGTATTACATAAGCAGTCCATCATAAAACCAGTATATTTTAAATATATTCCAAACAATTTTCCATAGCTCTGCTATAATACAGTGATGTATTCTTCAGAAAACAAAAAATATTCAATTTCCCACCTCTTTTAAATTATTCACACTTTCTCAATTTATTTTTACACAGAGAATTTGCTTAGCATTTGGATTAAAATTCCACACAAGCATAAAGTTCAGACAATTTTAGATTACTTTTTTTACCCTTCAGGACAAAAGCCTGTCAACCATAATAGACATGTGGTTCATCATCACTTATGTCTGAATCATCTTCATCCACTTCTCCTTCAATGACTGATTTCTTCCCTTTGCAACATGACACAATTAGTCCGATTAAGAAGACCTGTGAATTTAAATCAGTGCAATATGTATTACTGTATTCTTATTTAAAATGAATATAAAAGTGATGCTTTTAAAGTTAAATGCTACTGTGATGCAAATACCTGGAAGTTACAATTTACGTTAAAACATTCAACTTTATTTATAATGATCTCTAACCAGATTACTTACTGCAATGAATGCCCAATTCCCAAAGTAATAGGCAGCACTAAAGAACCAAAACTTATGAAGGAAAAGATACGTCCTTGTAATGGTGCACTGATCTAAAATAAAGCAGAAAAGATGTTTATTACAATGTGTGTATTTCTGGAACTGCAACTATACCAGGAAAATGTTACTAACAGAAAATTGTTGATAAAAATATAGCAAAAAAACCTACTACCCCACTCAAAATAGACATGGTCTTCTTTTAAAGATATACCATCCAGTTATAGTTAGAGTAATTTCTTCCAGCAAATCAGTACTTACAAATAAAATAATGGCAGTTACACAAAATTGTCTAAAAAAATCTATTAGTTGAAACTGCATATTTGCAGGCTCAAGCCAAAGTTGATTTTAAAAATTCCAAGTTATTTCTGTGCATGAAACTAAAGCCCATTGTGAGTACTTCCTTCACATCTGTGTTGCATGAACTTCCTACATCAGGTCTTAACTTCAGACCCACTCCTGCCAACATTTCGGTATATGCTTAACTTTACTCATTCAAATAAGCCGACTGATTATCAATGGAACTTCTTACATGCACAGACAATGTGTGTCTGAGTGATTGGGGTCTCAGAATGATCACTCTTCAGGGTGATTACTATTACTAATAACTAAAAGATGGAAAAAGTCTCTATATTGCAAGTAAATGAGGAAAACAGATTTTTTGCTTCAAGTGAAGATATCATTTAATCAAATTATGAACTTTTACAAGTAGGTCATGAACTAATGTAGAGACATTAGTGAGAGTCAAGAACACCACAGAGAAAAAAGTGTCAGGTATTACAGCACTGGCTTCAAGATCTGTCTGAAAAACTGAAACCAGATTTGCTTGCTTTCTAGTATGGAAGTTCTAATTATATTCTATGTATAGTCACTCATATATTCAACATACACTTTAAAATAAAAAAAGAGTATGACTAAGCTGTGCCCATTATTCTGGAATATTAGCATATCAGGGATGAGCTGTACACCAAAATAGTAGAACAATGGTAACTAATAACCCATGTGAAACAGGTTCTTCCTTAAATCTATTCATTCTTAAGGGATAAAGATTTGCCATTTCTGCAAAAGCAAAACAAATTGGGATTATATCTATTTATATGGATGTGAAAATGTGACCATCTCTAGTGTTTACTTAAGCTGTGTATAGCAGATGCAGTACTAGGAATGAGTCATGAGAGGAATAGACATCTTATTTTTCTGGTTTTACAATGTGTTAATTCTTAATAGGATTGCTCACAAGTGACTGCTTAATAGACCTGCCAATTTTTACTGGTGCCAAAATGCTGTAGGTTTATTTAAATCATATTTCCATTAGGTCATGAAAATATTCACTTTTCATATAAGCACTTGTGCAGAATTGCCTGGATCTGGCTTGGAGTGGGAGTGGGACTGGGGCTGTGCATATGCACCCTGGCTGTTGGCTTCTTCTTGGTGCTGGCCAGAGGAGGACATGTACTCTTGCTGTTTTCGTTGCCCCCGGACTGGCCCAGGTGAGACTGCACATCCCAGCCACCAGCTTTGCCTTGAGATCAGCTGGGAGGAAAGGGGAAGCTGAGCAGTGGCTTCCTGGTGGGGTGCTTGCTGCTCCCCCGTGGGCATTACATAGAGTAACTGCCTCCAACTAGACCCCTTCCTTTCCCTGTTATGAGAAAAAAAAATCAAATTCCAGGCACATGCCATTGTCCTGACAATCAAACCCTGACCTTGTTTTAAGTAAGGATAAGAAAGCTGCATACCAGATTTGGTGGTCCTAGCTTTTACTGTTCAGGAGGAGTTCTTGAACAAACGGACTCACAGATGGACAGACAGGTGCACATTTCAAATATATAGATAGATTTAGCACCAAGCCCAAGTGAATGGGCACTCCCAAATTTTCAGCAGCTGACATTTGGATGAAGTAGTTCCCTAAACACATTTGTTCAAAGATACTTGATACTACTGCAGCATTATAATTTTTAAACAGGATTACATTTCCTAGAGATGAGGACATTCTGCATGTCCATTCCCTGGGACTAGCAAAAGTTTCAACCTTTTTAAATAAATGAAACACTAACGCAGAACCAATGAGAGACCTAGTCAACCAAATCAGCCACTATTTTATTTTAAAAGTTCACCTAATACAGATAATCACCCTAAAGCACTTGCAGGCTTATTCTAGTGTGGTTCTTAATGGTTACCCATGGCCCCAATGTACTGTAAACTGAAGGGCAAGACTGAAGGCCATACCTCCTCTACAACTTTGGGCCTGCAAAGGGACCTTGATTGGGTGCAGAGTCCCAACCTGCTTCGCATCTCCACGTCAGAGTAACAAAGCTAAGTTGAGGGGAGCCATAGACTGCATGAGACACACACAATCCTCCTCCCCATCCAATGTCATGCTTAGGATCAATGTGCAGATAGATCCACAGGATTATAAGGATTTTAAAAGGACCTCTGCTTACTCACCAATTGAACTAGAATCTACCAAATGTAGATTAAAGGCCTACTGGGTGCCAAGTGAAAGATGCACATTGCTGTATGGATCTTCCAGGTTTTGCTATATCAGAAATATCTCTTCCAAACTGGTAATCAACCTAGATTCTAGCACCACCAGAATCCAGCTGCAAGATTAAAGGTGGAAACAGCAAGGCTGAAACAGAGAACCTACCATGGCTATCCTTTCTTGGCAGCCAAACTATATCAACCTTCCTGTGTCTTCCACCAAATGAGAAAAGACAGTTACCTTTGCTTAAAGATGTGTTGCTCATGTCCATTCCATGTTAGGTGTGCGCGCTCAGCACATGCACCAGTGCTGGAAGATTTTCCTGTAGAGGTATCCATAGGGGAGTAGCGCAAGACACTGCGTGCTCCCCTGACCCTAAGTTCTTTCTTGCTGTAAACTCTGACACCAGGAAAGGAGAGTGGATCATGGAATGGGCAGGAACAACATTGCTAAAACCAGTTAAAGAAAAGACAGGTTACCTTTTCTCTAAGTGCTTGTTCATGTCCTTTTCATGTTAAGTGACTTCCAAGCAGTATCTACAGAGGCAGATGGAATTTATGGACATGTTGCTTGTAACAACTCTGCCGAACCCAGAACCTTTGGCTTGGTTTATGGCATAATGTGCTATGAATGTGTAGACTGAGACCATGTTGCGGCCCTGCAAATGTCCTTGGTGGAAACATGAGCTAGGAAAGCCACCAAGAACTCCTGAGCTCTAGTCGATGGGCCCTCATGATGGCATCAGTGGGATGTCAGATCATAACATGTGTGAATGCAGGATGTGATCCAGGTCGAAATCCTCTGTAAGAACATGGGGAGGCCCTTCATCCTATCTGCTGTTAGGATAAAGAGTTGGGCTGACCTGCAGAAAGGCCTGGTGTGTTACAGGTAAAATGCCAGAGCATGTCTGAGGTGCAGGGCATGCAGCTCTTTCCCTTACTTGTGGTGTGTACCTTGGGACAAAAACACAGGAAGGATGATGTCTTGGTTAATATGGAAGGAAGAGACCATGTATGGCAGAAAGACCTAGTGGGGTCACAGTTGGACCTAGTCTTTCTGAAACACCAGAAACAGCAGCTCTGATGTCAAGACTTTAATCTTTGACACTAGTCTAACCGATGTCACTGCCATGGGGAAGGTGACTTTCCATGACTGATAGGAAAGGGAACTAGAGCCTGTCAAGGCTGTGCCCCACTCTGGCATTATGAATACAGAAGGTGGGGGCCCACAAGAGAGCTCCAAACCATGCCTCTACAGGCACTGATTACAAAAACTTCCTCCAAAATCCCAGATTTTGGGGAATTTGCTGCCACTATTAAGTACTTTTTAATCCCTAAAAACAGGTGTGAACACTTGAAACCACCCCCAGGAGTACCCCAAGCTCTCCCACACTAAAAGCAGACAGGGAATCTAAGTCCAATTCAAATTTCTGCTGGATAAATATGTTTAGATGCTGAAGGGGGAGCTTTGTTGCCAAACCTAGAAGACCTGAACACCAGAACTGAAAGGATCATTCTGAAGTTAGAACCTAAGTTTGGTATTATTCTCTTTTCCTATGACTCTTGAAATTGGGGCTGTTGGAGAGTGCCCATTTTATAGTTTAGGGAAGTTGCTTTGGTCAGGAAACCAAAAACACTTCTTCCCCACAACACAATTTTGACATGTTATTTTTATTTGTTAGTCCTGAGGAAATTCTGCAATTGTTGCACTTGGAGCTGTGAAGGGGTACCTTGTCCACCCACCAGAAAGGGCAATGAAAGTCTGCTATGGCCCTTCAGACTCTTATTCTAGACAGGTCACCCTATCAGCCAAAAGAACTTATGTACTGCAATCTGTGCTCAGGGCAGCATGGGCCAGTGGCCACAGAGTCCAAACATTTCCCCTTTGGGCTCTGTTACCCTAAAGCAATGACCAGAGACGCTATACAGTGTGTGCCCCAACGGCCTCCGAGATTACACACTGTCCCTCTGACATCAGGGAAATACAGCCCACCAGCTTCAAAATCCATATATAGACTACCCTCACATGGGGGAGATTTGCTTATTTAAGGATGGAAGTAGAGGGACCTTCTTCTCTACTGGGTCCAGCCCAGGGCCCTGTTGGCAGTGTCAGGGTCCACAGCTAGCTCAGCGGGGAATCCTACCGCAACATGCCGAGCTCTTGGGGAACAATTCCCTGCCCTGGCTACTTCCTACTCAGTTCTTATAAGTCGTCCTCTCTGTCTTCACCCTCTGGTCCAGAGGCTTCTACTGCTATTCCCCCCGCGGTTTGGCTACTGTTTGGTCTGGTTGTGCTTCCTCCCCAGGAGCTCCTGCAGCACCTCCTTCCTCTGTGGCAGTCACCCCTGATTGAGCCGCTCTAGAGGCTTTTATAGTTATTTTCCAGTTGGAGCATACCCCAAAGGGTTGTGGGAGTGGGATCCTCTCAGCCAGGTCAACTCAATGGAGGGGTTGATACACCCCATCATAGGAGCCATAATAAAACTGCAGAATTTCCCCAGGATTAATTTGTTGTGAAGAGATATACCTCTATGCAAGTTTTTATGTATACTGAAATTATGAAAGATTCTGAAGTAAGCAGCCCTTTTAAATCATTCATGTTGGAAATTAATTTTGGCTTATGCTATCTGCCAGAACATTGTCCTTTCTGGAAAATTTGTAGAGAGAATATTCAAGGGACAAATAATGAAAAGCAATGGTCAAATTTACATGCACAATAATCCAAACAATACAAAAAGCAGTATGAAACAAAGCTTGGGCCAGATAAGCCCAGAGTGAGCAGTCTAATGTAATGACTGGTCAGTAATTTTATTTTGAGGAAAAAGGGAGTTACCTCGTGCAGTAATGACTGTTCTTTGAGGTGTGTTCCCCCTCCTCTCCTGGTATGTGCTCTATGTCAGGTGTAGGGACCTCGTGGCACCTTGGAGTGGAGCTTTTACTAGCAGTGCCTATGTGCCGCGCATACGTGAAGAGAACCTTGTGCTGCGTTCTGCTTGGCACCTAGCATGCACGGATTTTTCCTCTGCCCCTTTAGTTCCTCTTCTCCACTGGAGTAATTTGTACTCATACTGTCTTTGTTGGGTGTGGTTGTAGTAACTATCCCTGGTCTTATCACATGGGGTATAATGCCTCCAACGATCGAGTGGAGTATATATTCCTAGTGTGCGGAGGGTGGTTTGGGAATCCTTGTTACCGTGTAGGACCTCATCAGTTGTTGATGCAAAGAGCTTGAGCTTATCAAAGGGAAGGTCTTCTACCCTGGACTGGAGCTCTTTGGGCACCCCGGCTGCAAGGAGCCAAGAAGCTCTTCTCATGACCACAGCTGTTGTGGTTGCCCTAGCCGCTGGGTTGGCCACATCTATGGCAGAAAGGAGAGCTGTAGGAGCGATCGTGTCCCCTTGATGAATAATGCCTCTGAGGATGGGCCTTTGGAAGTCAGGAAGATGTTGCATCAGTTCGGCCAGTTTAGAATGGTTGTCAAAAACATGGTTTGCCAACAAAGCTGTGTAACTGGCTATGCATACATGAAGGGTGGCTGATAAACAGACCTTTTTCCTCAATTAAGTCCAACTTCTTGTGGTCTTTGTCATAAGATCATGTTTTGGGATGAGGGGCTTTTGCACATTGAATAGCCGCATCCCTGATGAGGAAATTAGACTGGGGGTGCAAGAATAGAAAGTCTAGATCTTTCTGGGGTACAAAGTACTTCCTATCAGACCTCTTACAAGTTGGCTGGATTGAGACAGGAGTTTGCCAGAGTTTGTTGGAGGCTTCCATTATTGCCTCATCAATTGGAAGCACAATTCTGGATTGTGAAGCAGGATGTACGTTCAACAGTCAGTGTTGCTTCTCCCGTACCCCTTGGAGGTGGAAGTCCTGTGTTGCTGCCACCCTCTTACATAGCTCATGGAATTGTTGTATGTTGTCCAGTGACTGGGTCTCATCCAATATTACCGCCTCCTGTGAATGTGAGGCTTCATTGTCATGGGGTTGAAGTCATCTGTAGCCCCGCCTGCTCAGAATGGTGCTGTTTGAGACAGAGAGGGTGGAGGTAGCCTGCTTGAGGTAAAGGGCAATGTCCGGTGTATCTTCAATAAACCCCAATGGTCCTACAGCGCCCAGTGAGGATGGTAGTAGGGTGGAGGATAGGGGTATTCTGGATTCCAGGGTAAGTAAGGTGGTCTACCCTGGAAGTAGTAGGGTTGACATGTTGCGGTAGGGGATGAATATTGTGACAAGAAGACGCTGTATTGGTCCCCTTGTCTGATATCTTCTTACTCAGGCAATGCTGGGGTTCTTGGGTAGCGTGGAGTGAACCCTGGAGAAGACTGCATGGGGAATGCCAGTTTTGAGTGTGAAAGTGAGAGCTGTGGTCTCCCGGTATCATTTGCGTCTTCGAGAGACTGCATCAGAGTGTCTCTGGGGGGCATCATAGAGCTGGAAACTTGAAAAGCTTGCCTCTGGACCTCGCTCCTTTCAAGCGGGTAGTGTGGCAGTGCGCCGGGTCATTCCCGGTGCCACGTTGTTTGATGTTGCTTGCACCAGCACGCATGGGCATTTCGAAGCACTCTCCAGTGCCAAGACTGATCTTCCCGGCACCAAGGCTTCCACGGTGCAGAGGGTACTCTCCTTTTCCAACCCCAACTCACTGGGAGATGGAGTTAGGGGCAGGGACTTGGGAGGTGACCGTCCCAGTCTTTGCTCGAGCCATTGGAATCAGTGAGGCTGCCTTTTTCCTGGCCGCAAATCCTGTAGAGCCCTCCGGCTGCATTCCCTGATCCAGCAGCAGCATGCGGATGCGAAGCTCTCTATCTTTTCTGGCTCTCACTGTGAGAGCGTGGCAGAGGTCACATTTCTGGGGGACGTGTGTCTCTCCAAGGCATCAGATGCAATCTGTGTCCCTGAGACCAGCATAGGCTCCTGGCAGCTCTGACATTTTTTAAAACAAGAGGAGCCCGGCATTGCAGCTCCTGACTGGCTTTCCTCCAGTGTTCCGTGAAGACTGCTGCTGGCAGTTCCTGTTGTTCTTTGTTTATTTATTTATCTTATTTTTTAAAATAATCTACCCCTGTTCTTTTTGAAGGATAGAGCTTAGTCGGGAGCAGCAGGTCTGTAGGTTGCCCAAAGGTGGCCGCTCAACGCCAGTCCGCGCTGACAAATTTTTTTTTTCGGGATGAAGAACAATGACAATGGCACAAGGGGAGAACTGGGGAAAAGAAACCAGGGAGGTTTCTCACCACCCTGGGGAAATAGTGAAGAGATTAAAGAACTCCATCTGAAGCTGAGGATGGGAGAAGAGGAACTGAAGGGGTGAGGGGGAGTGAGCAGCACAGGATGCCAAGTACAGTACGGTGTGAGGCTTTCCTCACGCATGCACAGCTCACAGGCACTGCTAGAAAAAGCTCCACTCCAAGGCACCAGTGTGTCCCTACACCGGACGTGGAGCACCCATAGGGATATCACCGGAAGGAGAATAGGGGAGTCTATACATTTATTACTCCCCTGGATTGGTCTTCCTTTTTTATTGCATCTATAGGCAAACTGGAACATTCTTTCGTGAGGGCAAAACTGTAAAGAATGCTGGTGCTGCATTTACAAAGCTATGCTATTTCATCAGTCTGCTTTAAAAGGAACTAGATTATTTTGGAGATATATTTAACTTATAGGAAAGTCAAAAAAGATTTGCTGATGAAAGTTTACAAATTGCACTTCCACGTCTTCTTTACAGGAAAAAGAGCCTTAGAACAGCAACCATTAACTTCACACACAAAGATTTACAGTAAATTCTAAATCTAATCACTGAAGCAATAAGGTAGGAAAAGAGAATTAAACTTCTGCAAATAGAGTCTCATCACAATGCCTCTTCAATATAGTAGAGAAAACATAGCTTTAAAACAGAGCAGCAGCTTTAAACAGCCACAAAGCTAAAACAAAAACAAAGGCAGAAAAGGAAGTACGATGCACTAGAAGGCAAAGACTCTCATATTAAACCTCACTGACAAATATTATTGGCTTGTAAAAAAAACCCATTACTTTTCTCTACCAACTCTGGACCCCTTCTCTGGTATATTGGGCTCCTCCTCTAACTCTGTATGAAAATAATTTGTCCATTTTGTTCAGTTTAATAAAGTTATCTAGTTCAAACCTGAAAATAAAACACACTAAAGAAATCCATTAAGTCTGTGAAGTATCACTGTTCCGGTGGCAGGGCTCTTTGGAGTGAGGCTCTCCAGCACCTCTATTGATAAGGATTCTCTGGAGAACACATTGGAGCCTCATTTTTGCAAACGACTCTACAGCCCTTTTTATGTGACAGATTCTTGCACAATAGGTTCTACAGGCCTCTCCCCCCTGTAAAATATGGTGACAATAGAAGTGGGTGAGTCTAGCTTCTTTGCCAAGCTCTACTTCACTTCATTTAATATATTTTCTTCTTTATTGCTAAAAATACACTAGAAGCTTCAATGCGCTCTAGGGTTGCCAGATGGTTTCAACAAAAATACCAGACACTTGACATTACATCACAATCTACATTACATATTATTTCGAAAATACCAGACATTTATATTTTCTCAATTTGTTTCCTGAACTGAAAACACAAATATTGCACTGTCCGGTTCAAAACCGGACACCTGGCAACCCTATTGCTCTCTATATCTTGCTTTGGAGTCTGAAGCATACTTTGAGGTATGACAAACAGGTAAATCCTGCAGAAAATTAAAGGGCATAGCAGCGAGCCCAACTTGACACACAGACAAGCCTTATAACCAAAGCGAGATGAAGATGTTATAGGAGAAATGGGAATTCAATGGAATCAATTCAGAAAGTCAGACAAGATTTGAGACTTGGTTTGACTATGGAAAACAAGACAGTTATTTTATAAGAATCTGTTCATCTATTCCTAATAAAAGATGCTGACATACCAGGTGCCACCTAATATGAAGACCCTAGGTCTGAGGTGAACTCAGACAAACACAGCTAGAACCAGTATGGCTCATCCATGTGAGGGCAGTCTGTTGCTCTATATTAAGTCTGTTAGAGTTTGAGGAGTTTAAACTTGATAATTCGTTGGAAAAATTTAAATATAAAATTTACCAAATCCATTCAATAAAAAAAGGAATGTTCAGTTGTGCTCTGTCTAACTGCCTACTCTTTATATTTGAAAAGTAGAAAAACAATACTTAATGAATGGGAGACAGGCACAGTCTCCAGACCGTTCTGCGGTTCTCCTGCTGTTCATCTGAATTATAGAACTGCTAAAAGACTTACACATGGTTCTCAAATATAAAATTTACCAAATCCATTCAATAAAAAAAGGAATGTTCAGTTGTGCTCTGTCTAACTGCCTACTCTTTATATTTGAAAAGTAGAAAAACAATACTTAATGAATGGGAGACAGGCACAGTCTCCAGACCGTTCTGCGGTTCTCCTGCTGTTCATCTGAATTATAGAACTGCTAAAAGACTTACACATGGTTCTCTATGG